CCCCAAAACCCCAAAACCCCAAAACCCCACATAGTATTTTACTCATTATATTAAAAATTTAAGGTTGATAAAATTATTAATAAAATGTTCAACAGGAGATTCTTTGTGAAGCTATTATTAAGAGCATTTCTATTCGTTTTACTATTTGCTGGATTCATAATAGTGACACTTTTTTTTGCTTAAGATAAAATTCTATACATGCCTTCTTTACCATTAAGAAATCTTTCTGATAATCCAGTTGGATATAGAAGTCCTTCAGAAAGAGGAATCTTATTTGAAAATGTAGCCATAATGACTGAGGATAATCTTAAAATATAAGGGTAACTACTTTATTTAAATAGCATTAGGTGGTTCATGCATTAGAAATAGCCTGATGATAAAACAACATTACTATTTTTTCATGAAAATGCAGGAAGTAAGTAAAAATTAAGTAAGATATTTAGATATCGGACTCAGGTTAGAATACTTTGAAATGCTGTATAAAGAATTGAAAGCTAATATAGTATGCATAGCTTATAGAGGATACACAGATAGTGAAGGATCACCTTCTGAAGAAGGATTAAAGTTAGACGCTCATGTATTAAAATTTCTAATTTAAACTGTATATTATAGGCAATAGTTAAATACGTTAAGGGCGAAAGTAGAATCAATAAGATGAAGCTATTTGTTCATGGTAGGTCATTAGGGGGAGCAGTTGCAATATATACAGTTTAGTAATATCCAGAACTATTCAGGGGTATGATAATCGAAAACACTTTTACTAGTATCGAAGATATGGCTGATTAGCTATTTTTCTTCGCAAGGCATGTAAAGTAATATATTTTAAGAAATCATTGGAGATCCATTGATATTGTGGATTAAATTACATTACCAGCTCTCTATGTCACTGGAGATGCTGATGAACTTGTCCCTTTTGAAATGACTTAAGTATTGTACTAAAGAAGCAGGAATACTAAATTTAAGAATATTGTAAGATATTTATTTAAAAAATAAAATCTTTAGTATGTTGTAAAAGGAGGAACTCATAATGATACTTGGTATGTTGGAGGTCAAAGATATCTCGATAAACTAGAAGAATTTATTTGGAAAGCATTAAACGCAGTTAAAGAAACTAGTACAGATAAGTAATAAGTAAAAAATGAATAATCAGAGTAATAAGATATTAAGGATTAAAGAGAAACTGTGATTAACACTTAGGAATTATGATATTTATCATTAATACTTTAACTCTTTATAATAAAATATCATGCATTATTAATTATCATTATTTTTACTGAATTCCAAATCCATATCAATAATTTGTATTTTATCCTCATATTTCAGGTAGAGAAAACTTGACCTATGGTCTTTTTAATATATTATCATCATAGATGGACTTTGTCTTAACTCTTTGAATCAATTTATCTTTTCTCTTGAGCATTCTTTCAGCTTTTTCAAATTCAAACTACATCACATTCTTGTCAAAATTCATTCTTTCCTTGAACTACTTAGAAACTTCATCAGAGATTCCTGTACTTGTTTAAATAGGCGTCTTAACACCATGAGTATTATTAACAGTAGTTTGGGGTTAAATAGAGGGCTTTTGAATTCTTTTGATACTTGTGTTAATTGAAAGACTTAGAGTTGCTCTCTCAGTTTTTGGATTATTAATTTCAGTGTGGGTTTCAAGGGATTATTCTTCACTAAACTTGTTAATTAAAGTGACTTGCTAATCAAGACTAGTATTTGTGTCTTTCCTCGAGGCTATATTTCTTTGGATAAATTTATGCTGTTTTTATACGATTTAAGGTATATTTTAGCTCTAATTACGCTTATGGAGAATTACCTATGGACTTCTATCTCGACTTTCCTCTTTTTTCTATTTTGTTACTACAGCTGATTTCAATTGTAATTACTTCGGGTCGTTTCTATTTTTATATCTTCTCGCGTGCTTGTTTGTGTAATTAAAATCATTAGAGAGTTCATAAGATCTTTTGTATGTATTATGAGTTATAGATTCTATCAGTTACATTAGCTCTTATTATTTCAATCTTTTCAAGTCTGCTAGTCCTAGAGTTTGCTAACCTGGCTAAAGTGCAGGCTATAGAGGTGTTATTTGAATATCCTGCATCTAAAGCTTGACCTAAGTCTTAACAATCTATGAAGGTTAAGATTCATTATACCTTCTTTAAGATCTTCTTTGGTTATCCAAGTTTCTCTTGCTGTATGATATTTCGTCAAGCATTTAATCAATTGAAGCATCTCTAGATTCATCAATAGATTGAGTTTATCTTAGATCAATAGTATCTATTGTGTCAAGTCTGGTATAAATTTTCATATTGTCTTGATAACATGGTTCTTACATTTAAAATGCACTCTAACCTTAGTCTTCAGCTGATTTACGCTTGTTTGAACGAAATCTAGAGGTATTCTATTGACTAATCGTTTTTTGCTATGATAATGGGTGCTATTGTTAAGGTAATTGAAATTATTCTTGTATATCAATTTAAGATTGCTATGTCTAAATGGGTGGTAGCTCTTCATGGCTGTTTTTATTTTGTTTGCGTTTGACAATCATACTATTATTAGTCCCTGGTTTTTGTATTTTATCAAAACAATTCAAATAAACCCTTGCAGTTTTCTTAAATTTCACATCCATTTCTAGTTTTATATGTCTCTATTTGTAATTTCCTGTATTAGTTGGTGATATATTTGATTATGTCGTCAACTATTAGTAATTCACACTTCCTGATGGGTGATTCTGATTGTTCGATGATATCACTGAACTTTCAATTCTCAGTTAATTTTAAGGGTATTTATCAAGTGTTGATTTGATATTTAAGTCCCTTGTTTTAACTTTTAAGTATGCATTATCTGACCTTTAACCAATCAACGGAGGCAGTTACTTTACTTTTTGGCCTTCATATCTGTGAGTTTTATGGCTTCTTTTTACAGTTTGAAGTGATTCCTTGTCTATATTACGAACTATCACACTGTCTTAATACTTCTGTAAGGCTTCATTTATCTCCACTATTCCTTTTACTGGACTGTACTGCTACGACATCTATTTCGGCTTGTTCAAGTATGCTACTGATTGAAAATCTGGGTCAGTTAAGATAGATTATGCTGACTAATCTTATGCATTCTAAATATTCTAGGTATCTTACTGATCTTCTATTGATATTCTAGACTCTATAATGATAGGAATATTATCTACTTGAAGCCTTGTGTGATCAAGATTAAAATTATTTTCTTCAGAATTACTCATAATTAAATTATCATAAAATTCTAAATTTACAAACTTTAAACAGGATAATTTTAGTCTCGGGGTTTTGGGGTTTTGGGGTTTTGGGGTTTTTTGATTAACTCCATTTCGAGCATTTC